GCGTAACGGCGTAATGACCTTGAATGGATTTCCAGTAATTCTATTGGCTGAAAAATTCATCTGTCAGAAATTTTATCTGTCAAATTCATCTGTCAAATATTTCAGCCAATAGAATTATTGGAAATCCATTCAAGGTCATTACGCCGTTACGCCGATACGCCGTTTTTAGGATAGTGTGGCTGCACCCTCAAGGTCGTCACGCCGTTACGTCGTTTTTAAGATAGTGTGGATGCACCCTCAGAGTGTAATTTTATATCGAATAATGTCTAAACACAAATACGACGACCGATTTAAACGAAAAAATTTTTAGGTACTACTACAACGAAATCATAGTACCGAAATAAATTTCTAGGTACTCGTACAATTCTTTGATACGACGATCTGTTTTCTGAGGCGAAAAACATTTTTAGGTACTTCTACGTAAATTTCTAGGTACTCGTACAATTTTTGACCCATCGATCGATTTAGATGAAAAAAAATTTTAGGTACTTCTGTAACGAAATTATAGCACGAAATAACAACAACAGTAAATCAGAGTGTAATTTTATATCGAATAATGTCTAAACACAAATACGACGACCGATTTAAACGAAAAAATTTTTAGGTACTACTACAACGAAATCATAGTACCGAAATAAATTTCTAGGTACTCGTACAATTCTTTGATACGACGATCTGTTTTCTGAGGCGAAAAACATTTTAGGTACTTCTACGTAAATTTCTAGGTACTCGTACAATTTTTGACCCATCGATCGATTTAGATGAAAAAAAATTTTAGGTACTTCTGTAACGAAATTATAGCACGAAATAACTTTTTAGGTAGGTACTCGTACAATTTCTTGACACGGTGATCGATTTAGATGAAAAAACTTTAAATAGTCGTACAATTTTTTGACACGACGATCGATTCTGACGATTGTCATTTCAAAGATAATTGAATTGACGCCGTTTTTTGGAATCATATATATGCCATGTGTATACTTATCTAATAAGTAAAGTGTATTCATTTAGAATATTAAGAGATTCAGACGAAAAAAATCAAAATAGGTAGTAAGTATTCTTTAAGATTGTTTCTACAAGTTTTATTTAAAAATTGTAACAGATATAGGGCCCCTCTCGGACCGCTTGGACGAGTCCATTATAAAAAAGATCGAGGGACAGTAGGTAGAAAAAACATATGATTTGATTTGTCACGGAAACGTAAAGTTTCATAAAAGTGTTTTGTTGAAATTCTTCGAGTTTTATCATAAAGTTTATGGTTCGACACCCAACAAAATAATTGTAACGAATCCCCGTCACAAAATATAAATAATTTAAAGTCTAATCTCGCGAGTTGAGTTTGGATGAAACTGTAAACAAAATGTTTAAAGGTGTAATGTAATCATTTATATTTAAATAAAATTCATATAGCAGTAAAGCAGTAAAAAAAAGTGTAAGTTTAAAAGCATGAACTTTTGGGAATTCCCTATTTGTATAGTCTGGGAACCACCTACTTTTCTGGGAAACATACTTTCAAGTTCAATTTATTAGAATTGTGATTAAAAGAAAGCACTATTCTCATTCATATTGCGATTAATGAATATTAATATTAATAATATTATACTACCATATATTTTTTACTCAAATTAAGTTTTCGAATACATATAGTAAGTAAACATAGATAGAAGATAGAACATATTATAGAGATGCAACCATAGAACGTGTTTGTCATATTTATATGGTGTTGGTAGATAGCATCCAACCGTAAACTGAATATACAACGTATTACTGTAGCAATCAACATTTTTGTTACACTAAAATTACTATTTTAGATCTTAGTGAACGTAGTAATGTAATAAAATCAATTACTGTACTGATTAACTACCATATAATCGAAAAAAAAAACGGCGTCAGCGGTGGCATGAAATGAAGATTGCTGTCATTTTATACCGGGTGCGTCTCAACCGCTATAACTTTTTAATTTTATTTTAGATAAAAAAACGAGATTTGGTATGAAGTATATGACATAAATTAGGAATTATTGACGTATTCAATTGTTTTTGGTCACTTCCTGATTTTCTATCGAATAATGTAAAAATATACCGGGGGTGCCATTTAAAAATCAAAAGTTGTAGTCATTTCCGGTGAAACAGGAAGTGACCAAAAACAATTGAATACGTCAATCAATCCTAATTTATGTTATATACTAACATACCAAAATCTTTTTTATCTGACAAAATAAAAAAAGTTGTAGGGGTGAGCTACTTTTGAGACGCACCCGGTATACGACGATCGATTTAAATGAAAATAATATTTTTAAATTTCTAGGTACTCGTACATTTTTTTGACACGACGATCGATTTAGACGAAAAAATTTTAGGTACTTCTACTGCGAAATCACAGCATCGAAATAATTTTGTAATTACTCCTACAATTCTTTCTGATCGATTTAGATGAAGAAAAAATTAGGTACTTCTACAACGAAATCATAGCATCGAAGTAAATTTGTAGGTACTCATACAATTTTTGACCCGCCGATCGAAATAATTTTGTTTCTAGTATTTATTAGCCGAACGACCGGTTTCGACAATAAAAGTTTAGTTACTTCTACAAATCCGGTGATGACAGCAATTCAAAAAAAAGATTAGACCGTAAATTATTGATATTTTTAAATGAAACTAGTAGGAATAATTTTAAAAGAATACTTATTTTCATTTTTTTCGTCTGAATTTCTTAATATTCTAATTAGAGTATGAGCCTTTTGTTTTCTACCAAATATAACACGGCTATATCTTCGTTTCCCTTTAATAGTTTGCTTTACCGTGTTGCCGGTTCTTGGGTCTGAATACATCGATTTAACATAAATCGGCTTATACACTTATACTAATGTCGAAGGTGGCGCCGCTCGTGACAATACCGGTGTACCCCCAATCGTATATAAAAAACATAAAACCATTTTTTCAGGCCCAGCTGAAATTTGTTCAGGGGAAGTGGGGAAACCGTTCTAGACGATAACCACTGAAATCGTACTCAGACCCGACCCCGGGCCTGAAATGTCGAAATCGGGTCTGAGCCCAATGAAGCAACGTAGTTTTTGGGCTCGTATAAGCGGTTTAATAAATCTATATATATATATATATATATATATATATATATATATTTAACAATGAAAAAGAATATCCTCGAACCTGAAAAAGAAAGATGATACAATAATATTGAAATATATATATATATATATATATATATATATATATATATATATATATATATATATATATATATATATATATATATATATATATATATATATATATATATTTAACAATGAAAAAGATATCCCGGAACCTGAAAAAGAAAGATGATCAATTAATGACTTAAATTAGTTCAAAATACATTTTGCAAATAACTAGTGAATTGGACAGATAAACATACTATTAAAAAGACATTTTAGTAGTATATTATCATCTATTTACTGATAATACATAAGTATATAATAGGTAAATAACATGCATAAGGCACTATGATACAACTACCTGTATCATGATAACACACTAACATCACAAAAAATATATGCTAATTTAAATTTCTTTAATGGTCTAATGAAACACTATCTAGCCTCAATGCATGCCATTCCAAAGGCAAAAAAAACTGTTATACCAAATAAATATAAGCTGAATAAAACATAAACCAAGCCAATGTGCATAAACAACCAAAAAATGCATCAAAAAATACTTTTATCAGATCATGCCCTTGGATATATTATGTATTTTATATATCGCACATCCCGTTCAAAAGTTTACTAACTCAAAATAGAGAATATAGAGAACATTGTCAGGAGAAGTAAAAGAAAATTTAAGTTAACGCAATATGCTCCTTTTTGCATATTAATGGCCAAATAATGTAATGTTGATTTAATAAAAATTTAACTGGCATCCTTCTGAGGTATAAATCAGATTAAAAGGACATTGTTTTTGTAATAATTGTTTGTTCTGTAAACATTTTTTGAAGACAATACAGTTTTGAACGGGCTGTGCGATATAAACAAGGATCTTACTATTATTTGAGGTTATAAAGTATTTAAATAATATAAAACATAATCAAAATCATTTTTCATCATAAATTATAGAGGTACTTACGTGTTTTGATATTATTATCAGGAAATAATACGTTTAATTAAACAGGTACGCTGCCAGGCAAGTTCTATCGGCGGGTCTTTGCAAAAGTTGAAATCTAAAAATACAAAACTACGTTTACATCTTAGTTGTATTTACGAATAAAGTATTTGTGTGTAATTTCTGACTTACCAGTTAATTGAATAATCGCATTAAATACATCCAAATGGTAATTTAATATTGTAAAAAAGCAAAATTGTTTTAAATCACTTGCCAGGACAGCCCGGTCAACTTCTTTGTTAGCAAAATGGCCGCGGTATCATGATTTAAACAATGTGAGTGACAAAGAAAGCCAATGCCTGGCAGATGTTGCTTTCTTTGTCGTTGGTCCTTGCACGTTTAAATTTGACTGTTGCCTGTTTTCCCATACAAGTGACATCCCCGTGGGTCAAACCAAAAATGCCGTTAAATCACAGAGAGTTGACAGAAGCGATGTTGACAGCGCGCGCCTCCACAGAATAGTGAAACGATAGCAGGGTTGGCGACTAGGGAACGTAAAAATTACGCCAAGCGTGCCAACAAAATGATCAGGCCTGAACGAGAGGGAATCCGGTGACGATAGGCCAGACATCATATATAATATGTAAAAAAGACATGTAACGAACTAAAAACGTTACAAACTCTTATTATTATTACTCTGACATTTGGATATGTTACAAATCTTCTTACTGAATTTTGTATTGTATCTTTTACGCTCAGTAGAAGTGCAATGTTTTTACGAGAAAAATGGTCATCACATCACTTACACTACACATCACACTACAATGAAGCAAAATAAATAGATTTCCTAGATAGAAAAGTGTTAACGACGAGTGAGTTAAATACACTCACATTGTAATGTTTTTTCAGGGACCAAGAAAGTGAAAGACTTGTACGCTTCAATGGCAGAAATAGTAGAAACATTTAACAGGTTGTTCGGGCCTCAGCTGTTCCTCATGGGTCTTCACTGTTCGTCACAGATCCTTCAATGGAGCGTCACTTTAGTCTACAACATGTTCTCCGATGATAAAGATGATGACTACGACAGACTAGTAGTGGGAATAATATATATAATAATGATGTTGGTAAGTACCTTCAATTTCATAAAAAGAGTAATGAAGGAGTCAAATACTATTTTTATAATGATGTATTTGAAGAAACTTGGCCGGCACAGCTTATCCACTGTTACATGCTTTCTTTTAATCAAAAGATTTTAGGAAACAAAAATAAATTAATTAAAAATACAGAAACAGTTATTATCACCAAAATTCACCTCCTAACAGCACTTAAGGGACATAAAGGGCCATTACTACCGCTTTCCCGTTCAAAGTATTTTAATAAAGTTGCGATAAATTTCTGGCAAAGGCTATTAAGCTATCTTGCACACTAAAAGAGGTTCTAAAAGAACAATGTTCGACTGCAAGGTCTTCTAGTAATTTTTTTGTTGATTTGACATTTTTTACAACAGAGCTACCACCTGAAACCACAGCGGGAAATTTAAATTCCAGTTAGTCAGCCCCGGCGCGGTGCAGAATATGTCCATGGTTGGCCACAATGAATTTAAAAATCGCCCTCGATTGCGTAACTAAAAGTTTAATTGGTATCGCCTATATCTATCAGAATACTATCGTTCCCAGACAAAATACATGAAAAATAATGGGTGATTCTTGAACTTATTCTATGCAAAAAAATGATGTGAATGTGTCTTATACATCATAAAAAATTATTCATAATAACTCTGACGTTATCATGGATATCTACATAAAATTTGAGGCACGTCTTCTCTGCACAAAATAGCTATATGTAACAAGTTGCGAAATGAATGTGTTTTAAGCACGGAACGCAAAATTGTCAAGTGGGACAAAGTGGACGATTCGGTGGACAAAAGTGGACAAAGTGGACGAGTTGGACCGAGTGCTTAAAACACTATTTTCGCAACGAATTTCATAAAAGATTTTTTGTGAAAGCGGATAATTTGAGATCTTCATGCTAGTATTATTATTTATTTTTAAACATTTTTTAAAATGTTCTGGTAATCGGTTTCTAAGGCATTGTTTATTCATTGTTTAATGACAAAGTTCTGTTAGGTTCAAACGTCGCCGTATTTCCTACAAAGTTTTGTGAAAAAATAAGTGATAATGACGAGTCTTTGGATATTCATCATTTGGATATTCGCTGAAACTGCGCTATCCACGTTAATGCTCGAGAAGTCGAAAAACTTATACGAGACCACCTACAACAACTTTGAAACCTGGGTCAAAGAAAAACATGTTGAGAATTTTACAGAAAATGTATTGCTAGCCTATTTCCTGAAGTTATCCACTACCTTAAAGCCGTCAACTTTGTGGAGTAAATATTCGATGCTCCGCACCATGATTTACCTGAACAGAAACTTAGATATTAGCAAATTCACAAACCTTATTGCATTTTTAAAAAGAAAAGCTTCCGGATATCAGGCAAAGATATCAAAAGTATTTACAAAACTAGTATTTTACAATATTTTCATTGTTTCTAACGTTTCATTTTTTACTTTTAGGCACTAGTGCCTAAACAAGTGTCACTTTTAGATACTAGTGCCTAAAAGAATGTCATTTCGAATCTCAAATAAATATCAAAAACTGTCAATTTCGAAACGCTTTCACAAAAATGTTTTTTATGTACAAAAACCATTTTTGTGCTAAAAAAATATATCCACAATAACATCAAAGTTATTATGAATATTTTTTATGATGTATAAGACGTACATTCATATGATTTTTTGCATAGAATAGGTCCAAGTATCACCCCCCTAAATATTAATGTATCAATAAGGAACACACTGTATATTCTGCGTAATAAATCAGTCAATTATAATAATTTCTTTTTGAATAAACTAACTATGTTTTATTCTGGCATTTTCGCATTTATTTAGGTACTACCTTTGAATAAGAAGACTAAGGAAGGAGCATAATGCTATCCATGTATTCATGCATGGTGGGCGGAAAAAAGACTCTAGGGTGGGGATCTTTGACAGTTCTGTTTGACGATTAATTTGACACATTTCAATTTGATTTGAAATGTTGTGGATTTGTCAGTCTATACGGAGCTTATTTTATGTTATTTATTATTTATTCTACTAGTGATAGTTGTATAAAGGTAGTAAATCTAGATGGAAATTGTGGCAGAACTTAAATTAACAGTGACACTATCGCGATTTATCGAAAAAGACTCTAAAATAGTTGGTTGTGTAGCGTGCGGTAGATCTCGGCAAAACTCGAGTGAAATAATGGAACAACTTTTCGCTAGTAAGTGACTATATAATATACATACGTGTAGTAAACCAATCATTTATGAAATTCACTTAAATTAACTAATTATATATTTTTTCTTGCATTTTTGCTTTTATTTACTACTTGTCAAAGATTAGATGCTTCAGTAGCGTATCAGATGTGTATGGTTATAAATAATTATTATAACTTATGTATTTTTATTAGAATTTTATATTTTTATAACATTTTCAATAACTACCAACATTTATTCACAACGTAAAATAAAAAAGAATTATTGAGTCTACCCTACATCATAGTTTTACATTTTTTAAATAAAATTAGAACGGCACTGATAAACCGGAATTTAAGTCGGCCATATTTGAGGCCCATCGCGGTGGACCTAAAATTTTTGATATGCTCCTTCCTTAGTCTTCTTATTCAAAGGGTACTACTCATCAAAAATAATAAATATGCGTCAAATTGACTTAGTTGTTTCAGTAGCGTATCTGTATTTTTGTTATTACCAGGTATTTTTAAAAAATTATTCGCGGTATTTTAGTTGATTTGCTCCTTCCTTGATCTTTTTATTCAATGGCACGGCAATGGGTGACAATACTCAATCACTTTGATATTTTTCTAGATTTGGTTAGGTATCACAATGTTCTGTTGTGATCTGGCTGTAGTGGAATCTGAAGAAATCGTCACTATTTGTTACCGAATACAGATGGCCCATCCAGTTTTTTCCGAACCTTATCAAAACATCAAGAATTTGCTTTATTTAGTGAATAACTCCAAGATTCGCTTTACGGCAATGGATTACTATGAGATCAGTCGTTCGACGATGTTCGATCTGATTGGCACGACTGCTACATACTTTGTAGTACTTATACAGTTTTATGACGGGAAGAAATAAAGATCAGACTTATGATATACTAGAAATGAAAAGGATACCTATTTAATTATGTATGATAGATTTATTTAATAAATATTCCAAGAAATTTTTTTTATTTATTATGTTGTTTTACACAAAAGAATTTCGAAACAATCAATGCCGAATGTCGGAGAATGTTCGCAAACGTTCAGGATCATTGTGCTAATATGCAGGAACTTTCTCTTATATGAGTATTAGGGTGAGCCAAAAAAACTAACCTATGAAATTTATGGGTTAAAATGAACCTAAATATTATTTTCCCATTAAAATTACCGTAACTTTGAAACGGTTTACGATAAAAAATTTTACATCGCGGTTTCTTGTAGAGCATAAAATTTCCTAAAAATTCTATCTGAGAGTAATCTATTTTTTTTTACTAAATATGAAAATGTTTAGGCAAAAAATCACTTTTCAGAGCTTTCAAATATACGAATTATGATGTATAATTTGACAAAATTACTGTAAATCACTATAAATACGAATTGTAGGTTAGGTTCAAAATATGTTCTCTTCTTAAATAAATTTAAGCGTTAACATTATTAGGAATTTGCATAAAAGTGTGTATTTTGAATGATATTCCACAAAATTTGCAGGCTATTGAGGAAACAGAAAATATACAGATTACAGAAATAAATTGAAAATAATATTTATATTAAAACAGCATTAATGTCAATTTTTCAAACATGTCCTTCAAATCCTTCACTTTAGTAGCTGTTGGTAAGAAGTTTTACTTCAAATATGCATACATAGTGCACATACTGTTTTTTTTTTAGATTTTTAAATATTATAAAATTACAACTTTTAAGATATAGTCTGTCCAACGTCAAGATCTTTGACAGTGATAGATGTGTCTGTCATTTTTTTTTCAAAGTAGTTTATTTTATTTTACAAAGAGATAAGTTGGTACAATTGGAAAGCATAGCAGAAAATTAATATATTTAAAATTTGAGTGACAAGTGATTACTTCAAAATATTGTGAAAAAAACTGTATAAAATTGAAAAAATCTAATTTTAGTTATTTTATTAAAAACAATTACAGTATGTGTTAATACAAAACAAGCAAAGGTGTATTTTAAAAAACACCACATACCAAAGAAAGATATAAAAAAGATTTCCTGCTTTCAAGTCGTGTTTCAGGCTCAAGCAACTTCCTGTATTTATTGTTACATTTATCAGTATAATTATTCAATATGATTATTATTTACCTATCATGTGCTGCTATTTTACAGATACTCCGGTTTTTGGTATCATATACAAGATAGTACACAAACTTTATTTGTGGCTAATGCAACTCTCTGGCCATAATCTCTGTCAAACTGTCTCTGGGCACCGAATATTAACTGTAAACTATGGTCTGGGTCAACACATGGTTAATTTTCCCTTTGAGTTTTCCTCCACTTAATTTTAAAAAACATGAAACACACGTAATAACACAGTCCAAAATGCAAAATATTTATCATTTCTATTTGACATAATTTGACACAAAATTATAACCTATAAGTTTGACAACTCTCAAAACTTTAAAGTCGAGTTCGTACGCATCGGCGCCCGTTTGTCGTTCATCGTTCCGTTAAACCAATAATATTGAAATATGATCTGTCATTTTTGAAATAAACCAATAAAACTGGTTAAAACAACAACAGATGACGTATGACGGATTTATATATAAACCCATCCATAATTAACTTAAAAAATATTAGAAACTTGTTTTTAATAAATGGATTGGTGTGGACGTCATCTGCTTTTTTTCTGTCATCGTCTGTCGAAATCTCACCTGAGAAAAAAAAACAGAGTATAACTGAAAAATTGATATAGGAAGGAAATAAAACACACAAGTATATTAACAATAACGTTTTTATATTAAAATAACATTTATAATTGACATATATAAACACTCTAAAATAATAAATTATTACATATATATTATAGCCATGATCTGTTCAACGAGAGAATATATTCGACAGTTATTGTCCACAAATATTTTATATCAAAAGTAAATTGCATTTTCTGTCATTTTTTGTCATCTCTGCCAATCAATTATCTCATCATTCCTCCATCAAAAGTATCCCTTCTCTCTCTGGACAGTCTTAAGTTAAACTTACATATCTAGCGAAAACAGTATAAAGCAAAAATATCGAACAATATCTATAAACTGTCAATTCTTTCCTTGCTTTTGGTGAAGTACTTGTCTTCCACGTGATCTCTCATGTAGATATTGAAGACGTGAATGTCGCCATGAATGTAAACAGTGTCGATGTCGTCTACTTCGGTTCGAAATAGGAATTCTCCTGTCAAAGTACCGTCTACCCACACGGCGAAGTGGTCGGGATGTTTGCGAATGGCCAGATGGAACTTCCGGCCTGGAGTAAACTGGAACCCGGCAGTGCGTTCCTCGGCTCCCCAAGAGCCATTCTCCCAAGAGTTTCGTACGAAAAGATGGTTTCCATAAGAGGTATCTGCAAATCGAATTAAACCATTAGACTTATTAAAAATTACAATCGGGTTCGTGAAAAACGCAAAATTCTATATTTATTAATAAGCATAAAGAACCTAAATTGCAACCATTGAATTAGTGTTGTAGTAGAGAGAACGTTCACATTGTGAGGGAACAAATACAGACGGCCATCCGGAGTTCATCCATCATGTTCCCCATATAGATTTTTTACATTTATTAAAGTGATTCTTTATTTTTTAGTCTAAATAATTTGATACCACACACTTCGCTTTTTGAGTCAAACTTTCGTTACGAAAACAAGTTATAATTTGAAATAAATCATAATATGCGAAAATGTCAAAAGTTGACATATAATATGTCATTCTATTCAGAGTGTCATTTTCTATCGAATAAAGTAAAAAAATCCCGAGAGGCTATTTAAAAATCAAAAGTTGTAGTCATTTCCGGTGAAACAGGAAGTGACCGAAAACAATTGAATACGTCAATCAATCCTAATTTATGTCATATACTAACATACCAAATCTCGTTTTTTTAAATTGAAAAATAAAAAAGTTATAGGGGTGAGCCAATATTGAGACGCACCCGGTGTACATGAATAAGAGAATATTTTTTTGTAAATTTAATTGTTTATAAACTTACCAATTTTTAAGTTTACGTAAATAAAAATGAAATAAAATCTCAAAAATTATGTACTGCATGGTACCTACTATTATGTACTGTATCAAAGTACATACATGTGATATTGTTTATAGTTACTCTGCAATATAAATTTGGTTAGAAAGAAGGATAACGTATTCTGAATACTCTAAATCTCCTAAATTGTGGAATGCCTGCAAAAATATGAAAAACTTTTGAAAACTTCGTCCTGAACGAAAACAAATGAAGGCAAAGTAGGTCGGCGTATAGGCTTAGGCGAAATCCGCGAGCTTAATATTTTCTTCTGCGTCTACTTAATCCGGATATCTTCACCGGGCGACAAAATCCCACGAAAAAAATATCTGTAGAAACCGCACAAAAACATTACCTCCCAGAAGACTAAAGCTACAGAACTTTCAAAAACCCCTGGTAACTATATTTTCCCCAAATATGTTATAAAAATATATTGCTAGTATGGAACAGAAATTGAAGCCAAATTTTTGAGATGGAACTATACAATATCCACATAAGTCGGTCCTTTTCGTTCAACAGCTTTGAACTACGCAAGCGTGACAAGTGCTTCGCGATTAGTTGGTCTATTTCATACTAACCAATAGAAGTAGTTTTCTAAGTTTCTATCTACCACGTAAATCAATTTAGCCTCTCTGACATATTCAAACAAAAACAAGAAAGGGATAGATATATGATGAATATCTAAAATAAAAGGTTGAAATAATGCCATTACCAATAAAAAATTAATATATAATACGTTATTAATATTTAGAGTTTAAAATAGTGCGCAATTGACATGCGAAATTTGATTTCGATATCAATATGACTCCTACTTGTAGAGGGCGCCACCTACATATTTTTAACTGGTTTGAAAAGTAATAACTTTTCTTCCGTACCTGTATAAAACTACTGATTAAAAAAATATACGTTTGCGGCGTTTTTTATGTAAAAAAGATCTCTTGGTAAAAATTGCTACTCGAGATATTCTTGAGATATTTGGAATCGAAATTATCAATACCTGTCATGACATAAATTAAGCATGCTGACCAAAGACATCTAAATAAAGGGTGACAAAACAATTTACATTTTATCGCGATCACGAACCGTGTTCCGCAAAATTCGATGATGACAGATTTACGCGGTATGTGATAGAATACGGTTCGAGTTCCAAATGTTATTATTGTTATTAATGTTTTTTGGGTACCTATAGAAACTTTGAACTAAATATTTGTGTATGTATATAACTTTAATTAATATACATAGACTGTGCCAGGATTATACCTTTGAAATTATTTTTAGTTTTCTAATTAAATTATATTAGGGAAATTACAATGACAACTAGCGGCATCGCTGTGGATTCATCTTTATTACGAAATTGTCGAAATCTGTAGGAATTACGCTGACATTTGACGTTTTCATTTGTTTTCATTCAACTTATATTTGACAACGCGCGGTTGTGAGTTTTCTGCGGTAGTTAAAAGTTTTTGTAGCTTTTGAACAACTTTTCTAATAATTATTAGTGTTTATTGCAAAGAAAACTATTTAAAGTAGTTTTTAACTATCTACGATGGTTCGCCAGTGCACAGATTGTGAAAAAGTTGGACTATTCTAACCAGGAATTGATATTTCGGAGGTAAGTGTCATTGCGTTTTTTTCACCTTTAGTCATGCTTACAGTAGCGTATTTAGATACTTTTAGCTATAAGTGGATTATTACAAAAATGCGTATATTTTCTTATTTGTTGGCGCTTTCGATTGTGAAATTAGAGATGCCCTCAGTTAGACCTCAGGCAAAACTGTTATAATGGAAAATTGGTCTGAGGCAATCCTAATCAATTTTTGATAAAATTCATCAATTTTTGATAAAAAAAAACATCACGCCACCGTCACGCCACTGATAGAGGCAAATGACAGAAAGATAGACGAAACTCAACAATGTTGTCATATTTATGTACCCATCTCTTTTTAACTCTCATAAAAGTGTCAAACCATGTATGATTCTAAAAAAATGAGTTTTATGAATGGAGTGTTCTGTCTACCCATTTAGATGTCTTTAATGCTGACCAAATAGTTATTAGCCTGAAATCATAAATTTGAAATGTTTTTGTGTCAAAAGTTCAACAGAAACTGTTTTATCATCATTTTTCCACAGAAAATTTATGATTAATTTAAGAAAATAAAAACTTTTCAAATTTATTATTTCAGTCAAATAACTATCTACTCACGCATTTATTTTTTGTCAATAATGACAGGTATTGACTATTTCCATTCTAGATATCCTAAGAACGGTTGCTCGTAGAGGTTTTTACCAAGAAAAGTCACGGAAATGTATATTTTTTCACTCAGCAGTTTTATACAGGTACGGACGAAAAGTTATTAACCTCCAAAACAGTTAAAACACATGTAGGTGGCGCACTGTAGGAAACTAAGCATTTTAGGACATACATTTATACGAACTTTTTGCTTATTTTTATCTGCAAAATATGCCACCGAAGTTTCCGGAATACAGTTCGAACCACCCTGTATATATTTGGGACAACTAATAACACAGCTCCAAATCTCTACTATCAGAAATCGACAGAAAAACTAAGTTAGCATGGAGTACATATGGAAACGTTGTATAAAATTAAAAAAATAAAGATAATATCAGTACAAGTAGATATTTTAGTTCGCAATTCTTTCACCCTGAATATCTATGACGTTTAAGTAATTAAATGACGTCACGGGGAACATTATGGCTGTATATTTAAGGAGGTATTGGGTATCTAGTGGTGGAAAAGACGGTAAATAAGCTAGGCTCTCCGCAGATGAAAATTTTCATTTCGGATTAAACTGGCGAGATTAAAAATGTCGACGTCGTCGCGAGATGAGTCGCAAAGTTAATGGCATAATAAGATACAGGAGACGAGCCGGGAATATTAAGTAATGAAAATAATCCGACCTCATTTCCACGATCCCTAGGGAAGAAGAGCGACCACAGAGCAGAAATAATTATTGTTAAACTCAATAATCATATGGATTACTTGACCGAGAAAAAGTAAATTACATTGTTTATTAATTAATTATTGTAGCACAAAAGTCACGAATGCACAGTGTGACACATAAGAATGCACTCTACAAGGACTCCGTAAAGAAGAGATATAAAAATGATTAAATTAGAGAAAATCGACCTATAAGCACGGCATATAAAATAAAGATGGTATCTATCGAATGAATTAGACTATCGAATGGTTACTGAATGAATGATTCCAACTATCGAATGAGTTTATTCGAATAAAATCATTCATTCATTTGTATACTAAAGCATATGTATGTGACAACCTCGCCTTGCGACTAAATGGTTATCGTTGAGCCACGACTATCGCTAATGCTTTTGATAAATGAAATTTAGTATTCGTTTGATTTTTGTGTGCGTCAGTGCATTATTAGTTCTTCCAAACTTTTATAACTTAAAATATCTAAAATACTAAAATAGAAGGTTTTTTTTTAAATTGACGATTGTGTTTGGTTTGATTTTTCCGAAAATTTGTGTGATTTTCCGTAGTCCGATTTTTCAATTATTTACTTTTATATGGTAAATGGTCTATTTTTTTAATGGGAAATTTTGAGAAGTAGCATTTTTTAAGAGAGATAAGATGAACTTACAATTAATTTTAAAAATACATATTTGTATTTTAGTTGTTTTAATAATATGAATTGGTTGAACTTAATAATCATATTTAAGTAATGTGGTTAAGTAAATGGTTATCGATCTCAAATTTTGGGGTGAGAAAATTAAATTGAATGTTTTACACGTGCCATTTAAAAAAAAAAGTTAACGATATTTGTATTTTGTTTATGCTAATTCTCTTACATGTAGTTTTTTGCGAAGAAATATTTCATTTATTTTTTAAAGTAAATGCCAGTAAAAGTATAATATTATTTTTAAATAGTAATTAATATAAAGTATTAAAAAGTAATACAAATAATTTTGATTTCTAATTTAATATTTTAATTAATATTTTTAGAAAATTAATAAATGTTTATATTTCATGATTTTAAAATTTGTTAATATAACAAATAAGTTCTGTAATTATTATTTAATAAATCAACGTTGCCAAAAAATTTAGAGACTATATTATTTTTAAATAGGATCTAATATAAATAATTTTGACGTCTAATTTGTTGTTTATATTTTACTACTACTTAAAAAAATGTTTATATTAAATGATTTAAATTTTTTTTGTTAATAGGTATAACAAATTATTAATGTTATTATTATTTATTAAACCAGTCTTTGCTTAAAAACATTAAAAATAATTTTCCTACATCCAAAATAAAAAGTATTATTGCAGTGTAACAAAGAATATTAATAAAAAAATGCAAAATATATAGTCATACTCTCCCTAACTAACTAATACCAAAGAATAATATTCTTTGCTAATACCAACTAATACCAATATATGGCAACAGTGCCCTTCATAATGTATTTTCTGTGTAAACACTAGCACCTCAATAAAAAAATAATGTGTCCTTATCTTTATATGACACCGCAAAAAATCAAAGATGCCGGCTTCTTTCATACCATTGACCAACCGCATTCACCGACCGCTGTCTAAAGAACGAAAATCCAGTTTATATTTTATTATAATCGATCCTGGCGAATAAATGAATGGTTTTGCTGCCGATTACTAGAATACAATATTTCAAGGCAGATGATGCATCTATTCGAATAGTTTTCGAAGAATGTTTTCTTACTAGCTATCGAATTATTCGAATGAATTGCAACTATCGAATGTTTCGATAGTATTCATTCGATAGTTCCCACTACTAATATAAAACAATCGGCAGGCAACTCGCTTTGCCGAGAACGCTACGCGCATATCCTTGCGCACGCCGCCATTTGGGTGAACAGAAAGTAGCCAGTGCCGTAGTTTTTTCCATCGACAACAGACAGTTACGGCAGCATTGAGCCAGTAGCGTGCGGCTTAATTTATTTTGTTTTAAAATAAATTGCACTTGATACTCATCTCATCAATATCGTTTAATACTTTAATAAATTATTTTCTTTTAAGAGTCTCAAATACACTAGGATTTTCTAAGCCATGTTTGATATCGATGTCATATATTAATTTTTTTAGTGTCTCTAAACATGGCAAATAGATTTGTCAAAAGCGCCTTGTATTTTTACATTTTGTATTAGAATAAAAATATTCAATTACCCGACGTTCATGAATTTTGGTTGCCTATAATGCAAAAAAAAGTAAATGTCTAACAACTATCTCAGTTTATACCGCCAGTACATCTAGGATTTTTAAGAACTTAAAACTGTAGAAGCAATAAATAAACCTTTTCTCTTTCTAAACCAGGACAAATATGACAGAACTTTTAGAAAATAATCTGCCCTATGAAGAGCTTAACTAGGGTGTTTTTAACAATTCTGATACTATCAGATGTATTTCTTAACTTGTTAAACCGTTATATTATCTTATTAACATTTATAAGACATACATACAGTTTTTTTTTAATATTTTTTTTATTTAGATGTAGACTTATTTTAGATTATACACTATAATAGCCTCAATCAATTGAAAGCCAGAATGGCCCAAGTCAAAAAATGCAAAAATACAAAATAAACAGACAGAAAATACAATCTACATTTATACGAAAATTTAACTTGGTCCCATTTTGTTACAATGCCAAAGTTACAATGTTAATATCTTATGTGAGTATTTTACAGTAAGCTGTTAACTTTGAAGCCACATATCTCAAAACTACATTTTTTGACTTAGACCACTCTGGTTTTCAACGGCTCGTATACAAAGAAGAATTCATTATATTTTGTCTGATCTCATTCGCTAAATAAAACATTAAATATCGAAACTAAAAGGCAAAGATGAAAACCTAAGTATAAAAACTAAATAAATCCCATCGTAAAACTTAGAACTTTTTAATGGTCAGTCGTTACGAGACATTTACGATTTCTTACACGATACTAAAATGACGATGATAAAGATTACAGACTGCAAGAACATTATTTTTTAGTAGAGTAAAACGACATATAAATAGAACAGGAAACCAATCTGGCCAAAGAACTATGAAATTTTATAGTTACTATTTACAATACTGTGGTAACCAGAAGTATAAAAAGCTTCCAATCTGTAAATAATATCCATACTAAGGGCTGGCAAAGGTTAGTCTTGGGTCAAGATTTCCATATGTAAGAAGAGTACAATGGCGTTTGTAATGTACTGAACAAAGAGAGAACAGTAAACACGTAGCCAAACGTATGAAATAAACCGAGAAACTGTGCACATTGCTAAGAGTTATGGAAGGCGATATAGGAGATTTTTAAGTGCAAGTTAGAAACACTTGTATTTTTGGTAAAAATAAGTGGAATTGAGTTGGTGTTCGACAGTGGCCGCGCTATTAGAACTCTGAATTCAAAAGTCGATATCTCGAAATCTATTAAAAATAATTGATTGTAGTTTTTTGAAAACCTTTCTTAACATTTCTACTATATTTTCTTCGCAGACAGTATGTGAAAATATTTATAAATAAAACAGTTACACGATTGCTGAAAATTGCTGTGCACTAAAAGTAAATGAATGGGTTGTTTAAAATTTCTGAACGGAAAAAAACAACCTCATCGATTTTTCTCATTTAAACATATTGTAAAATCTGATCTTCAAAATAAAAAAAAAGTTTGAAAATCTAGAGTGGTTCTTAAGTTATAGCGTGTTATGTGTTAAAAAGTCCAATTTTTAAATTATCGCGATTACTGACGTTTCATCGTTATAAAAAAATGGACACCCGAACGATATCCTTATAATTCCATTTCAGATGTTCAGAAACAAATCTAATCTATCTTTTCGAAAAAAAAATATTTTAAAAATAAGCGGTTTGTGATCGTGATTTTACTTTACTTCATAAGGAAAGGCGCACCGGCAACGCCGCAACAGCACACCGTCGCATTTCTCTCACTCCGACTTAATAAGATCCCTATGCGATTAACACATGTAAATACCGACCCAAAAGTAACAGTTACCAGCACGGTATATAACTAGGCAGAACGAATATTAAAAAAAATAAAACAACATATAAAAATGAGAAAAGAATAATATAGAAAATTTAAAAAACTTTATCGAAAAAAATTATGATATGTTTGAAAAATGTATGATCGAAAAAAAAACGGCGCCAGCGAATGAAATGAAGATCGCTGTCATTTTATATGTAAATTTATATGGGAAATGTCATCGATCGTCATTTCCCAGCCAACTGGACGCCGTTTTTTTTTCAATCATACGGTATATGTATATGTATTTAATTCCATAATCCGCATTAAAGTGTAAATAGTTCTCATATTATGCTGTGTTATAATAACACAATTTGTGATTATATGATACACCATTTTTCGAGTTCTACTTACAAAATCGAGGATTGAGGTGTAAAGGTATAACAGGATGGGGCCATAGTTTATCCCCCACTTGCAGATTTACGTAAAACGCAGCTGGAAGAATCTTGATTCGGCCGGAGATTTCCAGTTGCCACCCCACCTGGAAACCTTTAGGCAGTGTTGCAGTAACGGGTACAATCTAAAAAAAAACAGAAAAAATATTAAAATACTTTTTAGATTTTTATTATTACTCTGCTTATGTACAATATAATGCGAATGGAATATCAAGCGTTGGTTAAGTATTTTTGCTTAAAAAAGGCAGATGACGTCGATACCAATCCATTCATTTCACTAAAAAAAGTTTTTAATATTTTTTTAAGTTAACTATGATGGGTTTATATATAAATACGTCATGGGGTCATCTCTTCTTGTTTTTAGCCAGTTTTATTGTTTTTTTTTTAAATGACAGATCACATTTGGAGTAAGATGCACTTAAGATTTTTGAGGCTTGTCAAACTCTTGCCAAATTATAGGTTATAATTTGTGTCAAATTATATCAAACATTTGCGAATTACTTTTGCATTTTGGTTCGTGTTATTACGTTTGTTTTGTGTTTTTTGAAGTTAAGTACATGAAAATTAGAGGGAAATTTAACTGTAGACTCAGAGCATAGTTTATAGTTAATATCCGGTACCCAGACAGCCACCAATAGCCACTAATAAAGTTTGTATACCATCTCGTTTATGGTACTAAAAACTGGAGTAGCTGTATAATAACGACCATCACACAATAGGTAAATAATAGATTTTACTACTCTGCAGAGAGATAATGTCAAAAGATACTGGTTTAAAAAAATTAAAATTAAAGTTAATTAACCAACAACTTGTAAGATTTTAAAATTCAGTAAATGTTAATATTAATAAAATATTTTGTTTTATTTATGTTGTGTTATATTAATTCCTGTGCCATATTTGTACACAAGTTATATTGATAAATATAATAATAATTGCAGAAAGTTTCTTGAAGTTTGAAAGTAAAGTTCTAGTTCTTTTTAATATTTTTTGGTATGTTGTGTTTTGTTTAAAATACATTCTTGTTTGGGGTTTGTATTATCACAGACTGTAATTTAAAAGAAAAATACTTCATTAGATTTTTCAATTTTGTACAGTTTTTTAACAATACATATTTTAAAGTAATCACTTGTCTCTCAATTTTTAAATATTAATTTCATGCTGTGCGTTCCAATTGTACCAACTTATTTCTTTCTAAAATAGAATAAACTACTTTGAAATTAAAATGAGAAAAACATCTATCACTGTCAAGTGTTTTATCGCTGGACAGACTACACCTCTAAAAATATTTGCACTTATTTAAGACTCACTCTGTATATCGGGTGCGTCTCAAAAGTGGCTCACCCCTATAACTTTTATATGTCTTCAGATAAAAAAAACGAGATTTGGTATGTTAGTTTATAACATAAATTAGGATTGATTGACGTATTCAATGACATAAATTGGGATTGATTGACGTATTCAATTGTTTTCGGTCACTTCCGGTTTCACCGGAAATGACCGAAAACCTCGGCAGTTTTTTTACTTTATTCGATAGAAAATGACACTCTGAATCGAATGACATATCATATGTCAACTTTTGACATTTTGGCATATGGTTTATTTGCAATTGTAACATGCGGTTCATAACGACAATTTGACTCAAAATACCAAGTGTATGGTATCAAATTATTCGTAAAAAATGCTTTTTCCAAATATGCTAATGAGCCACACTCGTTCCATTTGAAAAAATTGAGATATGATTAAAAATACGATTTGGGCATCTTTTAACCGGCCAGGATAAAGACAGAAACATTAGACCATAAAAACAAAGGCAAACCAAACCAAAAACATTAGACCATCAAATCTATTTTTCCAAAGCTCCTTGATTAATAATTAGTGTTTTTAACACAACCATGGCACTCTAGATTGAAATTTAAAATAGATTTTGTTTTTGAGTGACTATGTCAAAAATTGACATATGATATGTCATTCGATTCAGAATATCATTTTCTATCGAATAAAGTAAAAAAATACCGAGGGTGCCATTTAAAAATCAAAAGTTGTAGTCATTTCCGGTGAAATAGGAAGTGACCGAAAACAATTAAATACGTCAATCAATCCCAATTTATGTCATATACTAACATGCCAAACCTTTTTGTTTTATCTGAAAAAATAAAAAAGTTATAGGGGTGAGCCACTTTTGAGACGCACCCGGTATATGAAGTAAAAACGAATTTGACTTTTAGATTCATTTTTTTAAACGAGAGTTTGATATAAAATACAAAAAAATATGTACAAAATAACCAAAAATTCATGTGTGTTTGAAGTCAGGAAAATAAAGTCAAAACTAATAAAAGCACAGTTCGAATCCCTTCAAAAAATAATTAAAAAAGGTAAACGGACAAATCCTCTAGAAAATCCTCAAAGACAACTCTGTAGCGAGGGCAAAGAAAACCAAACCAAAAAAAAGGAAACAACGAGAAATAGAATATTTGATGTTATATTCCGAAATTAAATTAGAATGTAGTCCTACATATATGTATATGTAAAGACTGTGACTTTTGTATACATTTATAACAAAAGTTCAAAAAGAAAATACTTTTACTAGGATTACCTTGAAGAAAGAGAACAAATTGGACTGAAAATGTTTATTTCTTTGCCTATATATGTTTTGTTTGATCATATCAAATAACTAGTATTAGAACAATCAATTTAATTTTGTTATTCAATTAGTAAAAGAAAACACAGAATGTATATGCTTACAAAACAAAATAATTGGATGTATGTCTTGAAAGAAGATGGGTAAACATTGCGTGACATTGTTGGTAAAATAACGCGCCTTGAAAAAACGATCTGATAACAAAATAAAATATAATTGAAACCAAGAGGAAAAATACAAAATCGAATTTATATATGAAGAGTACCCTTATGAGCAGAATGGTGATATACAGGGTGGTCCGAAATGTATTCCGGAAACTTTGGCAGCATATTCTGCAGATAAAAATAAGTAAAAAAGTTTGTTATAAATGTACCCTAAGATGCTTAGTTTCGGAGATACAGGGTTGTAGTTGGTAAGAATTTCTGAAGCAACGCAACGTCAATATTTGGATGAAAATTGGTGAACGGGAGTTTTTTGGTCTGAAACATTTTATTTTGATGTCAATATAACTCCTAGTTGTAGAGAGCGCCACCTACATATTTTTTAACTGGTTTGAAGAGTAATAACTTTTAGTCCGAACCTGTATAAAACTACTGAGTAAAAAAATATACATTAACGACTTTTTTTACGTAAAAAATGTCTCTTGGTAAAAATCCCTACAAGTGATAGTTGTAACGGCAACAAAAAAAGTAAGGCTGCAAAATTCCATTTTTGGTACACCCCCATTAAATTTTCACAAAAGGTAGATAATGGTTTGTCAAACCCAAGTAAGTATCTAAATTAGATTTATTCTTATAAGAAAATACGGTTTTTCGAAAATAAATGTTCGTAACTTTATAAATTACAGGCGGTTTATAGAACTAAATTAAATTTTTAACATACAATACCCTTTCTTAAAAGTGACACAAAAATTGTTGTTAATTTATTGGTAATTAGTACGTACCATGTACCTTTTTTCTACAAATAATTTAATTATTTTTAAATAAAAATATATAATTTAAAAAACAAACCTAAAAATAAATATAATTTAGTAATCTGCTATTTATTATATCTAGGTACGCCTCTGATCTACAGAGAAAAGGATATAATAATATACCTAACTCTTCTTATTTTTATTTACCGGTGAAAAGTTAAATTTGGATTTAAATGATACACTCTTTTGTACACAATACATGAATGCACCATATTCTCAAATTAATGTCCACAGAAGTCCACAAAATAACGCAAAAATATTATAAAACTGCAAATAAAGAATACGGAGATTGAAAGGCGGCATAGCAACATCGCAACAGTAGAATCTAGGAATTTTCATTCATCCTCGTAATTCGTTGTACTACGCCGGCATATTTCTAAAACTGACGTTGCCAAACTGCTTTTTATTATTAAAAGAAACACGACCATGATATTTTTATTCCGTTATAAAATTTAAAATAATTAAGCAATTAAGCATTAAATGAACAAATTGACGTTAGCAAATTAATGTACTTGATATATATTATAGAAATATAACTAAATTATTTATTACTTCTTAATTGGTTGTGGTATTTAATCGAATACTAATACCAATATACAGGTAAATCTGGCAAATGTTTTCGGTGTAACAGAGATGGGAAAATAAGGATAGAATAATGGCCGATGAAGGAAATAGGTAAACAATTGTATCTCTTGAGTTTAAATATCTTTGCTCAAGGTCTATTATTCTTTTTGATGTATCAGAGTTATCGTTACTTACCATCTACAAAATGATTTTACTAAAAGTCGATATAAATAAGACTATCGCAAATAAATGTAATTAGAATCGACAAAAATATAACGGAATGCCATCGAATTTTCGTAGATCCTCTTTTCAGAAACGAAGACCCAGTTCGATTCGTATCGAGACCAAAGACAAGATAAGAACGGAGGCACAAATACAAAAAGATTTCCACCTTTGATCCCTTCTATCTGTACATGTGTGTGTTCGAAAATGTAATTAGGAGAAACAGACGGATCGATGGAAAGATCTCAATCATATTGACTTTGATAAAACAGAGATTCATTCTAGAGATAAGATTGGTTAGTTTAAAAGATGGATCTCAAATTCAACTAACCCGAATTTTGTTTAAAAAGATAGCACACTCAAACACTTCTACTTATGCTATTATTATTATAAAGATATCTTCAGAATTAGGGTTGCAGGACATTTATTAATTTCTTACATGTATTTCGTAAGTACGCAAAACTTCGACCACTCAATGTGATACATCAACGATTTTTTTTTACGTATCAAAAAAATCAATGCTGTACCCTGCCAGCTGGAATCAGTACAATTGGAGGTATGCCAAAAAGATAGCGGAATCTCTTGGACTCTCCAACACCATTGAATACACTGGTTATTGTTTCCGGCACAGCTCTGCAACAATGTTGGCAGATTCAGGAGCGGACGTAACAGCTTTAAAGCGACATGGAGGTTGACGATCCAGCTCGGTTGCTGAAGGTTACATTGAA